GCGCCACTGAACGTTTCGTCTCTCGATGAGCATTTGATAATCAATCGATTGTTTGGCGCCTCTCTTAGGCCCCGTTTGATACGCATCTTTCCAGGTCCAAACAGATCTTTCTGGCTGAATGGACCGAAAAGACTGTTTGATTTGCACAAAAAAATAGGTTTTTTCCGGTAAGATATGTCTTTCCTAGAAAGCCCCAAAATCATATCTTTTTGGCCGAATGGGCTGGAAAGACAATTATGCACCAAACCCCGCATCTTTCTTTCTTTCTTGGATTATTAATTTTTTTAAATAACTTTTTTTAAATTTAGTTTTTATTGAATTATTACTTTTTTAATGTATTATTTTATATTAAGAAATATTATTTTAATATATAATATTTATGTATTAATAAATATTATTTTATTGGATTATTAATTTCTTTTAAATAATTTCTTTTTGGATTAATTCTTTTTATTGGATTATTATATATTCATAAATATTATTTATAATATATAATATTTATATATTAATAAATACTATCTTATTGGATTATTAATTTCTTTTAGTTAATTTTTTTAATTCATTTTTATTGGATTATTTCTTTTTTTTTTTGGACAACACCACAACCATCCTAATTTATTTTAAAAATTCTCATCCATCCCACTACTATCAAACATAAACTAGGTCATTTTTCATCATTCAGCATAGTCAATCAGATGTACAATCAAACAACATGGTTTCTTTCTCAGTCAGAAAACTTTCCCAGACAACACTTTACCATACAGCACATTCCCAGACAGAAACTATCAAACGGGACCTTAGCCACGTTTGATACGTATATTTCCAGGTCCAAACAGATCTTTTTGGCTGAATGGACCGGGAAGACTGTTTGATTTGCACAAAAAAATAGGTTTTTCCCGGTAAGATATGTCTTCCCAGAAAGCCCCAACATCATATCTTTCTGGCCGAATGGGCTGGAAAGACAATTATGCACCAAACCCCGTATCTTTCTTTCTTTCTTGGATTATTAATTTTTTTAAATAACTTTTTCTAAATTTATTTTTTATTGAATTATTACTTTTTTAATGTATCATTTTATATTAAGAAATATTATTTTAATATATAATATTTATGTATTAATAAATATAATTTTATTGGATTATTAATTTCTTTTAAATAATTCATTTTTGGATTAATTCTTTTTATTGGATTATTATATATTCATAAATATTATTTATGATATATAATATTTATATATTAATAAATACTACCTTATTGGATTATTAATTTCTTTTAGTTAATATTTTTAATTCATTTTTATTGGATTAATTCTTTTTTTTTTTTGGACAACACCACCACCATCCTAATTTATTTTAAAAAATCTCATTCATCCCACCACTATCGGACATAAACCGGGTCATTTTTCATCATTCAGCACAATCAATCAGATGTACAATCAAACAACATGTTTCTTTTCCCGTCATAATACTTTCCCAGACATCACTTTACCATACAACACTTTCCCAGACAGAAACTATCAAACGGGACCTTAGTCTCTTTCCCTCGCTTTCTTTCTCGCGTTGTAAACAGATACAACATGGGCTAAATTTTTTGGGCCATTCTTATGTATAATATATGCACATAGCTGGACTATTTGATGCCCTTAAAATTTTGCTGCCCTAGGCCTAAGCCCAAATCGTCCATGTATTGGGCCGAGCCTGGTTGGGTTAACGTCTTAGTTTTTGTCACTTGTAATTAATTGTGTGTAATTTGGAAGGCTTGTTTATATATATATATATATATATATATATATATATATATATTATATATATATATATATATATATATATATAGGCTTAAGTTATTCTACTCAAAGTAATTATTGTGTTATTGTATGCATAAATGTGGGCCAATCAATTTTACTTATTTTAAGAAAGTGATTATTACATATTATTGAATTAAATATAATTGAAAAATACCATCTAATTTAACTTGAAGGGTATTTTAGTCAATTAATATAGATTTAATAAAGGAAATTTGCATGTTTTAAGGAAAATTGCATATTTTATAGATTCTATTAATTTTAAAAATCTGATTGTATGGATGATAATTCTTCTAATTCAGAAATTCTGACGGAATATGTTTATCAATATATTGAAGAATAACAAATATGATTGAACCATACAACAATACACATTCTGACATAATATATATTTTGATTTAATGAACTTCTTTAAGAATAACAAAATTTTAGATAAAAGTTAAAAAAAAATTCATTACATTCTTAGAAAAGAAAAAAATTTATATACTATTCTATGAGAATGTTACACTTATTAATAACAAAGAAATACAATATATAAATTATTCTACTAGAATATACTATTACATATATTTCTTTCCGTTATATTGTATATTATTCTGCTAGAATATCCATTCTAGTAGAATGTTGTAAGGTTCATATGTACCTTATTTTGCTTCGATATCTCTCATTGTTTCAATTATCTAAATATAAAGAATAATAGACATTAAGAGGCATTAAAAAACAAAACTAACAAGATAAAAAAGAAAAATGACTACAAAATTGACATAGCAGTAACTTGCAGCTACAACATTTGAGAAACATCAATAACATCAATTGAACCATTTTGAGTTCCCAAAGCGACTGCCATCATTTGAGATAAAATTATAAACTAAAAAGGAAAACAATCAGTTTGAAAGATAGTGAAATCAAAAGTAAAATAATAAATTATACGATAAACTGTGCAGGAAGAAAAGCTCGGTTCTAGTCACAGATTTACCCTTTGCATTCTTTCACTTTTTGAACCTTCACCACCTTTAAAATCATGCTCTTTTTGCTGCCCCTGTGAGAAATATGGAATATGTCAAGATTATGTCCATGAATAGATTTGCAATTGTAGGTAAAAAGAGAATAACTGCAGTGATAAGTACTTGTTTGTGTGATAAAATAGTTCTAAACAGCTTCATCATACCCTACATACAAGAAAAAAAAGAGAGAAAAGATCCAATCAGTTTATGATGATTTAGGCATACACACAATGATTAACAATCTTAAACATAACTGGAATTCAGTCACAGTAAAGTGGAATAGATTCAACGACAAGTAAGATCTTACAGTAATTTCCTTTTCTAATTCAATTGAATGGTTGCTTGAAAGGGGCATTTACATTTTCCACATCTATCAAATCCTACCAGACCCCAACGACTAATAAACTGTAACACCTTTCAACCTACAACACTATACGAGTTATATTCATAAGCATAAATGGAAACAAAATCACAAGATGAAGTAAACAAACCTGGGGAAATCGAGGCAGAGAAATGGGTTTTTGGAGCCGAGATCTTTGTGATCACCGATCTTGCCACCAGAAATCGGAGAAATTAAACCTGGAAAGAAGAATAGAAACCAATTCTTCCGGGTAGATTCCTGAGTACATCTGCACCGTGGTGTTTAATCACTCTCTTGGAGGGGTTCAGAGCCAACGACGAAGCTATCGCCGAAGCTTTAGATAGTAAGTTCTTTTGAAATTGCAACAGTTCACATATTCTTGAAGTTTTTGAGCGACAGGGTATGATCAGAACAGCAAGTGGGGAAGAAACAACTTACAAACAGGTTATGTAAACATCTTCAAATCTTCTTCGGAATCTAAATTGCAATCGAATCAAATACCTTTTTGATGTTTGGGATTTTTCAAATGATGGCGATCAATAATAGGAGTCAGGGGATGGATTCTTGCCGTCACAAACTTGTGATAGGGTTTTCACAGACATAGGGGGCGTTAGAGGTGGGCGACATTGGTGGATGAAGGCGACGAGTGGTGGACGACCGTTAGTGATGACGGTAATTATGGTTGTGTTGTGCCCTTCAAGGTGGTTTTAAAAAGCGGACGATGGATGGAGAAACCTAGGTAGCTGAAGTCAATAGTTACCATAATTATAGGATATTATTTGTGGAAACTAATTATCAAATTACCTATTTACCCTTATTTATTTATTTAATTATTTATTTTTATTTTAAATTTTGATTGACCCACATTTATGCATACAATAACACAATAATTACTTTAAACACCTGAACCTAGCTCTCCATCCCACCACTATCGGACGTAAACCGGGTCATTTTTCATCATTCGGCACAGTCAATCAGATGTACAATCAAACAACATGTTTCTTTCCCAGTCAGAAAACTTTCCCAAACAGCACTTTACCATACAACACTTTCCCAGACAGAAACTATCAAACGAGATCTTAGTCTCTTTCCCTCGCTTTCTTTCTCGCGTCGTAAACAGATACAACATGGGCTAATTTTTTTTGGCCATTCTTATGTATAATATATGCACATAGCAGGACTATTTGATGTCCTTAAAATTTTGCTGCCCTGGGCCTAAGCCCAAATCGTCCATGTATTGGGCCGGGCCTGGGTGGGTTAACGTCATAGTTTTTGTCACTTGTAATTAATTGTGTGTAATTTGGAAGACTTGTTTTTATATTGTATTTCATTAAAAAATTTAGATTCTTTTGTTTTAAGTTGATTTTGTAGTTAAGATTTTAGGATATTTTGAATAAATTTACGAGGAAAATGAAATATATATATATATATATATATATATATATATATATATATATATATATATATATATATATTTTCACATATTTTACAGCTAAAATGTTTAGTTAAAATAAGACAACATATAATTGCAAGGACTAAACTGTCAATAAAATGGTGTGTAGTGCTGTACCCTTAAATTATACTATAAGAAAATAACTATTTTTGTAATTTAGTCTATGTTATTTTTATTTTTGATATATAATTATCTTTTACTTTTATATTTCATTTTCATAATATCCAGCATTTATGACGCAATTAATTGATGAAAATCATATATGGTTATATTTCCTCTGCATACCCAACGAACCTCCTCCCTCTTTCTATATAACTGGCCAATTTCCCCATTATTTAAATCAACAAACACCACCGCAAATCAAACAAAAACGAAGAGAAGATGAATAAGGTTCAGATTTTCATCGCGGTGGTTCTTGCTTCCTCCGCCATAGCCATGGCAGAGCAACCCCTAGACCAAGAAATCGATGAACTGTTTAAATGGCCATCTCTTACCCATCACTATGATTCCTTGTCTTTCTTCAAAAAGTTCCAGTGTGGTGCTTCCATCCACAAGGTTTACTCATGTCTCCGATTATCTTTCCTGAAGTTTAACACCCAGAACTTCCAACTCCTCCATGTTGCCACCGACTGTTGCGCCTCCATACGTGATTTTCGTGAGAGATGCAGTGACGGCAAGATCGGGCAATTTGAGAGTTTTTTATTTCCTCCGCTGCTTTTCAAACAATGTATCGCCGGTGATGCGGCGGCACCAGGGCCAGCACCGGCTGCAGCCGCTGGACCAGCTGCTGACATTGAAGTGTAATTGTTCTACTATTTTTGTTATTAAAATATATATGGGAGCATTAAATGTGTACCTTTAAAATAGATAGTTGGAGAGTCAACATAGTGGAGAGTCAACAAAATCTATAAATGGGAACCAAATTATAAATTGATTTTATTTTTTGTTTTAGGTGGACAAAATATTATAATTACTATTTATACAAAAAAGTTGGAAAAGTATTAAGCCGCACATGCCCCTCTAGCTCTTAGAGTATCCATAATGGTAAGTTCAATGGGAGAGTTGAATGAGGTGACAAGTCTATATGTCATTCAATGGATGAAACTCTATCATTGGGAGATACCACCTTGGCATTATATATATTTGGAGTTCAATGGTCATTGAACTCTTCAATGGGAAAAAGAAAAGTTTTTAATTCTTAAATATTTACTATAAATTACATTTTGTAACATTCTATTGAACTTTGTAGAGTTCAATGCATTGTAGGAAAAAAAATGATAGATTTATATGGATTGTAGAAAAATGATGTGGCAATCCATTGAATTCTATGGAGTTCAATGTATTGTGGATGCCCGGACATCATAAAGTTATATATAAAAATCATACAAATGAAATATCTTCATCGGATTTAATTTATCTGCTATAAATCGTACATTCATACAATTGAAACTATTATAAATCTTTCATACAATTGAAATGGTTAATATAATTTATGTGACGTATGGTTTTGGTTACTACAAACTGTTTGCTTCTACTCCAAGAATTTCAATTTCCGAGAAAGTTGGGAAGCCTTCCACTACAGGTCATTCATCTAATACTTTGGATAAAAACTTGAGCCAACCAAACTCCTATGCAAACGTTGTTAGGGGTAATCCAAAAGCTAATCAGATTCATGATAATGAGGAGATGATCCATATTTCATCAGGTGATTTTATTATCGAAAGAAGTAAACGTGCTTGTTTAGTCAAAGCAAAAGATTATCTTACTTTACCCAATTTACGGATGTTATGTTTTGATGAAGGATTTGATGATTTAGAGATTCGCTATGTTGGTGGTCTTTGGGTCATGATAGAATTTAAACATAAAGAAGCTTGTAAGAACTTCATGAATAGTGATGCCATGGATCATTGGTACTTTGAAAATTAAAAAAGATGATTCTTTGATGACGTTGTTGATAAGACTTACTTTTGGATTTCAAATAGATGTAAAAAAGTTAAGTTAGGATGGTTTACTTGGCTTCATAATCCCTCTTCTATTATCATGTAATTGTTTGTTCTAGCTTCTTGCTTGTTTAATAAAATTTCACCGTTCAAAAAAAATATAATGTACCTAAGTTGTTATGATGATGAGTAGGCATAATCTCCTTTACGCCTCCAGAAGACCAGAACGACTCTCTTTGTCGGTATGGGATTCATAGAATTAACAAGTAGGTTTTGTTTTGTTTTGTTATTTTTATTATTTTTTATTTTATTATTATTATTATTATTTTTGTTGTTGTTAACTTGTTATGGTGGCTTCACGGGAAGAAGGAATGTGTATGAAATATAACTATTGGCTTTGAATCAAAGGCAGGGCCGGCCTGGCATGGCAAAGCTGGGCCACAGCTCAAGCCTCCCAAATGCCTAAGAGCCCCTCTCTTTATAAGCTGTTATATTAGGCATCACTACTAAAAGCCGCATGTTTTTTCTAAGTGCTTAATCAATTTGGAATATGCGAAAAAGAATTGCCAATCATTTTGTACAAGTACTTGAAAGTAATACTTTTAATCTGGAATTTTGAAAGGTGCTAGATTTGATATCAATCTCAAAATGTAGCCTTTTTTTTTGGAGAGGTGGGAGTAAATCATAACTCCAGTTGATATTATATTTAGTTTAAACAAACGAGTCCATAGTGTTAAGTGAACATTTTTCATTGGGATGGCAGAAGTATAACTTATGATTTAATGGAAGATGAATTCAGAAAAAGGGTGCTTGAAGAATTTGCCAAAGAAAATGTAACCGACCTTTAAACAAATTGTGTCCAAAGAAAAAAGGTTCTTCTGTTTGGGATTGGATAAATTAACGATGATGTTTGATGTTATTATAATTTGTTTATGTACTTAATACATTTTCATTACAATAGAAAAGATATATTTCATAAGATATTTTGCAAAATTTACAAGTAAAATAGATTTTGTGTTACAAGGGAATATTTGCCATTATCAGTTACTATTATTCCATTCATTCCTTGATTACTTTTGATTCCAACATAATTCATTCCATTACAACATAATAGCCAAACAAAACAATGTCCATTGCTTTAATTCACCCATGCCAAATATTACTCGGTATAGTTAATTCATTCCTTATTTCATTCCATCCAACCCAAACACATCCTAAGTTTTAGTGAATTTCTACCTGTCACGATTTTCTACATTTTTATGACTATAGTTATTTATATGCTGAAGGGCTGCATTTTTATTTAGCACTGGGCCTCAAATCGGCTTGGACCACCTTGATCGAAGGCAGAAAATGATAAGTTACAACTTTATCTAATATTATATATATGTTTTTGTGTTGTGATACTAATAGGATAATACAATATTCGTGTGGATACAAAGTGATTAAATAGTTACTAGATTCACACAAGATTCACGCCATACATATGACAATGTTTTTAAATCCAAAGTACATGTTCATTTCATGTGTTATCTTCTTGTCTTTTAGATTTTAATAATTCTTTTCCTACCAACTCTAATGAACATGCGTGCTCTTGTTTATCCTTCTATTGCAAGAAACAGAAATGTACTTTCATTGATTTGTTTGTTATAACATGTTAATTACTTCTATTTTCTTATATAGTTATATTACAACATTAAAATTTGAAGAATCAACCTAATTAATGCAACATAAGTGAATAACAAGCTCAATTTAAAACATGCTAAAGTGTTAAACAATTTCAAGTCTTCATCACCATAAAAAGTTTAATTAATAAGTTTGAAAACCAATTTTCATTTTACGAGTCATTAGACCTCCATCGTCCTGCCTAGGACAATTTTTGCAACATTGTAGATCAGTAGAAAAAGAAACAATATTAAATCTACAAATAAAATTTGTACATAAGATAATAGCTAGATATGTGACTTATAATCATTAATTCATATCCGAATAAAGATGATTGTATTCATGTGTAATTATCTAATCTCTTTTTATCCACTGCATTGATTCTCATGCTTGAAGTGATTTTATATGTGGTATTGACTCTCATTTTCTATTTTATTTGTTATGATGCGATCATTTTTCAAACATCCACTCCATGTCTAGTACTCAATGTTACACCCCCGGCCGTCGGCTGAAACGGCAAAGTGGGCGACGTAAATCAGTAATCACAGTTATTGAACATACATTGAACAATACAAATATAACATTCTATTATTATCGAAATAGAAATTACATTGACAATGACTATTGCTAAACCGAGACACACGCCTAACGATTTGACATTTACAAATGTATAATAAAAATAACGGAGAGTCTTCTGAGCGAACACTTCCGAGTTGCTAAATAACCTGCGAATACATGCATTAAGATACGTCAACAAAATTGTTGGTGAGTTCTACAGGTTTTGACACAAAGTATTTTTATACCCAAAATTGTTTTATAAAATTTACCTAGTTGACCGGTTTTTATAAATACGTACTTTTCTATCAAAATTATACAATAATTGAGTTATAAAATTATATTTAGACTCATTTAGAAATATTGTTTGCTCAAGTTCAAAAATACACAATTTGTTAAATATATAAGCAAATCAAACTTATAACAAAATTTTGCGGTTCCCATGACCAAAATGTTTTTTATATAAGGATTTTGAATACCAATTTATATAAAAATAAGGTCATATCACACTTTGTGAAAACATAAAATAACCAAATTTACTCTTGAAACCTTGTACAACCATTTGTAGAGTTTATATGTAAAACTCATAAGTTTCGAATTTATAAACTTTGTAAATTCGTGTTGTGGTATTAATTAAGTATTATCTTACTTAATTTGAAAACTGACACTTAACCCGTGGGGCAAACTCCTCCCACATAAATATTGTGTTCTCATGTAAAATCAAAGGGTTTATATAAATAACTTATTAATTGTAAGTTAATAAACCTTTACCAATCTCATGTTGTTAATTAAGTGTTATCTGACTTAATTACTGGTATTGACACTTATCGTTTAAGTCCCAAATCTACTTGTGTATCAATCAGATCCGTTTGATGGTGCAGAATCCCAATCAAACGGATGATGCCAGATCAAATGAAGAAAAAGGAGAAAAAGAAGATGATGAATCTTGTATGAATTGATATGAATTAAGATCCAGCTACAAGATTCACACACACACTAACACACACTAAAGCTCCTCTCTTCTCTCTCACTTTCTCTTTCTAGAACACCTTGGGTTTAACACACTTAAGCTCTCCACCTCTTTTTTTATACAATTATGCACTCCTCACCCTATATATAGTAGACATGGGCCGTGAATGGGTTTACGGTCGTAAACCTGTTCACGGCCGTAAACACAACCGTAAACACGTATACGGCCGTAAACACCAAGCTGTTTACGGTCCAAGACACAAAAATACATTTTCCTAGAAAAGTAAAGTATAAACCATAATTTAGATCCAACAATCTCTCCCTTGGTTTATAGCTTTCTTTTCTAATTGACCCAACAAACCCCCCCTAAAAAGTAGCTGACTTTTCTTGTCAATCTTCATCGGGAGCTTGGCTTCAGCATTATTTTTCAAATTTCTTCACAACTTCAAGATGAACATATGAATCTTCAATAAATGACTTCATCTCGAGCAGTTGGGATTTTCTTGAAAATTTGACGTTGAACGCTCGTCGGGTGAGAAGGCTTCTTGAAAAGATTCCTGAAAGATAGCACTTTCAGCTTGAGAATCTTCAGAGAGAATATCATAGAGAAACAATCTTCTGGATCACTTCAGCAGGTATAAGATAGCAGCAAAGTGATTGAGGAGGCTTCAATGCAAT